TTTTTCTGTGGCATTTCTGTTTCAGCTTGTTTACTGAGTTAGTGAAAGAATCAGCAACAAGCAAGTGTAAATTTAGCTCTTTCTAATTTTCAACAATTTGACTCAACAATTCAATTAACATTCTTGTGACATTGCTTAAGACAATGTGCTGAATGCTACTTTAGCATAATGGAAAGATCTTCTGCAAGCATATAAGGAAAAACAAATTCAAAATTGTTTATAGTTTCTATTTTATCAAGATTTCAGTGCAATATAGGATGTGATATGGTCTTATCAAGAAACATGGCATATACTGTAAACGGAATATTTGCACATGCCATATATGATACCATATGAAGATGCAATGCTAAAGACCAAAGATGGAAAAAAAATCCCAATCATTTTTACAGAATGCAGTTCTGGTTTTAATCAAATTTGCACTTTGACACCATTTTTAAAAGACATGTGTTCAAACAGCACACATACACACATCCATGCAAGTACTCATGCTCACCCAAGATGTTTGCTTGTGTCTCAAAAAAAAGCATTAAAAAAGTATTTTAAGCTTCATGCTCTTTTTTCCACATATATTCTGTTTTACATGCCTTGCAGATGTGTTGTGGGACAATTTCAGGTATTTAGCAGATGTTAAATGGATGTTGCTTTGAATCTGACAGGAAAACTAGCAATTTTATTGGTTTATATAGTCAAATAGCTGCACTAAAAAAATGTGGTCATGTAGTACTATCAATACGAAAGATATTAGGCTGTAGCATAGCTCAGAGTTTACAGAAAGCAACAAGACTGAACTCAGCCTCAAAAGGGGAAGCATTCTTAGTGCATCTGAATAAAGCTGTGAAGTGTGAACTTGGAATTTATCTCTAACATCATGCTGTTGCTGCTTACACCAGAATAAATGTGTTAAGCTTAATGTTTGTGTAGCAGGACAATAAGACTAATTAAATAGCTCTTATTGGAGCTGAACTTAAAAAGTAAACATGTTCACTACAAAAGAAGGGAACCTGAGTAGAAAATTAGCTCATAGGTAGATACAAAGAGAACAAAGGTCAGCATTTGCCAATTGCTACTCTGAGGTTTCAACAGCTAAAAGGAATTCAGCCTTTTTCTAATTCAAACAAAATCTGCAGAAGCCTCAAATGCCATTGCAAGATAACTGCTATCAAACGTTACAGATCTCAGCCACTGTTGTACTTACTACTTGCATTTCGATATGAACTTTTCTTCATATTTTTTGTTTTCTGACTTATTCCGAAAAAGTACAACCTAACACACAGATTAATCAATAAATACAACACATTAGAACATGCTATATCTACTTTATATGAAGAAGCTTAGGAGCAGACACTGAATACATAGTGGTAGTAGTAGTAGCAGTAGTAGTAGTAGTAGTAGTAGTAGTAGTAGCACCATGTCATGAATAATTTTTTAGTCACTAAACCAGGTCACTGAAAAGAAGAATGCTTCTCAGGTGATGTAAGTTAGAATAGAACATGAAAGTTGTTTAATGAACAGTAAGGGAGCCCAATGCATTTTAATAACTATTTAAAGAATTGCTATTCCAAACAAATTCTTTAAGTTTGGAACTGATTATCCTGATTGTAACATGTTTTTGTGTGCTGATATTTGATTACTATTCACCCTTCAACACTTTTATCTTCCAGAATCAAAGAAGACAGCTCATCCAGAACGAGCAGGAACTAAAGAGTAAAATATTGCTTGCAGCTTTAGTTTAAAATTACCCTAAATTTTTGTTATATAGATAAATAGATACTAACTCAGATGTGGCAAAACAAATGCTGAGGTCGCTTGACTGTGATTTTAACTATAAGCATGGTTCTGGTTTTAAGGATAAGCATATAAAGTGTTGAAGTCCCAGCGGCTCTGCAAGTCTATTCTGAACCTCATTATTTAATCATCACAAAACAATAACAGAGAAAAATAAAATTTTGTTACAAAGTTCAGCTTATGAAGTTATGTATCTAATTTCATGTTATCTCTACTATTGTTGCAATACAACATAGAGATAACCCTCACCTTAAAAAATACTGAAATCACATGAATCTTGCTGATGTAAAGCTCACTGTGATATCACAGCAGTCCTTAGGGATACACAGCACAATATGTAACAATACACCTTCAATACAGCAGTTCAGAGATAAACAACACTGTCAAGTAAATATACTGACATGACTAGTATATTGGCTAGGACCCATTGCAATTTATGCTCAAGCAGAAGATTGTGTCTTGCAAACTGTTGGGAACCATCAACACGTGCAATGCTTACACAATGATCAGTGTGAGATAGCAGCACGATGACTGGTGCAATTGCTGCCTTTGATTACAGGATATCTTGATAGATTATATTAAGATAGTTCCTCCTAATGATTTACTATTTCTGTTATATTCTTTACAGTAAATTTGGTTTATTAAAATAATAGATGTATATTGGGCATTTTTCCTTCCTTTTTCCTGCTTGGTCTACTGGACTTCCTCTTACTAGACTGTAAAATACAGTGGATATAGAGACTATTAGTTTCAGTAGTTTCAGAGAAACAGGCATGCTACACCTAGAACCAGAAAATAAATTCTAGAAAGACTCTAGATGGACAAATAAAGATCATAAATTGATTGTTTTGATTTTGCACTTAAAATCATAAATTTGTACAAGTTTAGTGAAAATTTTCAGCTTTCTTTAGCATAATTTTTTGTTAATTTGGAAGTCATTCTTCATTATCATCTGGCCCAAAATGTTCTCCCAAATACCTCACTTAAAGACTCCATTAAAAACCTTACATGGCATGGATATGATTGCAAATTCACTGCTTGGTGAGAAAGGTATGATGTTTGACTGAAGTAAATTTTCTGAGTATATCAAGAAGTTATGGCTGCTGGACATTAGAAAGACAAATACATTTTTTTTTCAAATTCACACAATTTGTGAAATGGTAAAGGAATAAAGCATTGAGTTGTTTCATTCAAACCATGCTAAAAAATGACATTTCTGCTTGCTTATTCCAAGAAAAGGGACATAAGTTCTAGATTTACACTCACGTTATGAGGGTTATCATATCATCCTCTGTATTTCTACACTTAATTACAATTCTCAACATGAAAGAAACATATGTGAATGCTGCTCCTGATACATAAACTTCTTGGTGCTATCCAGCAATGCTTGCTTCAGTTCAGTAATATTAACCACACTTTAAAAAGCAATCCCTCTTTGAGAAGCTGATCTACACACCTCTATATATTGGTGACACAGTAAGACTTGGTGTGTACTTTAGTTTTGGCTTAGTAATCTCAAAAACTTTATCATATGAAATGCCATATCCACTTACACATTGAATGATCTTCAAAGCTAAGGACACACCTCAAGGAGGCTTTATAATCAGGAGGTCATTGTAAGCACCCTTTCTGAACAGGGAGGGCAGGGAGTTTAGTGTGTTACCAACACAATGTTTTCCCCACTATTACAGGATCCTTCATCATAATTCTTCTATTATAAAGACTTGGGTTCTTGCATTTACTCTTTTTCAGTGCTCTTTCATCATTCCTGCCCTCTTTCTTCATCTTGTGTCTGCCCTTACTCATCCACTGATGTCTGTCTCCATACCTTTAATTACATGTGATATTCCCTTAAAAAATTACTTTCTTGACTCATGGTATTTTTTTTCCTCATTCCCTCTCTTCCCATAAATGTGATGAGAAATCCTTGAGGAAGAACTGAAATTAATGGTATACCCTGATCCAATATAGGCGGAGAGCAGAAAAAGAATATTATGGAATTTAAAAAAATATTCAGAAAGCAGACAGCCTGAGTTAAGGCTCTGGTGTGACAAAAGGGAAGGATAAAAAAATCTTTCTAGCATTGCAACACAACCTTTACCAGGTTCTTTAAATTCAGAATGGAAATCTGGAAATATATCCACTCTATCCTGCAGGACACTGGCCCTTTGAAAAAACAAAAGTAAAAGAAAGAAACTTTCTTTTATCTCTATAAGCAAACATCTACATCATGCTAAAAAAATTATTCAACAATGCATACACTGATATAGACTCCAAGCACCAATTTAAATTTCACCACATGTAAACATAAGTTTTTTAATCAGAGGTTATTCTTTTAAATTATATATTCATCATCATTTATGCTGCAGACTCAAAACTGCACTGGTGAGGTTGCTGTCTGATGACACTAAATAAGCACTTAGTAAGGTTAAGCTCATTATCATTCAAAATAGACCATATGTAAAGGCAATTCAAGAATATAAATTACAGAGATTATAGATGGTGCACTAGAGACCAAGCACAAACTGATTACATCCAGATTATTAACCCATGTGACTATCTAGGTCTTAGACAGACTGGCAGTGACCCTAAGCAACTTTTCTTGCTAGAAAAACATGACTTCATGGGTTGAATGCTCACTGCTAGAATCTGTGAAAAGAATAATTATTATGGGATTTATTCCTAATGTACTAAGGGAATGTGGGTTTGGTTTTTTAGTAGTAGAACAAACAACTGCCTTAAAAAATGCCTAACTCTTTTCAGTTTCTTGTGGTAACATTATGCAATGTCTTGAAAATTCCTCAAGTCAAAAAGGTGTCACATGATGCAAAAGTCTCTCAGGATAAATTGTGGCATTTATTTTGCAGCACTTTTACTGCATGTATCCTTCATGCAAATACTTAAGTACAGATGGTGCCTCAGTTTTGCATTATGAAGGTTTACCATGTCACTTGTTGCAGTCTACAATAAAAGTTTATAAATGTAGAAAACACAACATTTTGACTAATCCTATCAGTTGATATGTATCAAATTAAAGAACAGTTTTCCTTTCTGTTTAGGTGGGAAGACGGAACAGACCAGTCATTTCATTCTCACAAACTATTTAAAAAGTACACCACTAAATGGCAGAAGCAAAGGCAGAATTACAACTTCACTGTATTTTCCTAAGTAATAGAGAGCCTTTAGTCGTTAAGAAAGACAGAACTCAGACTCACTGTGCATTTGTTCGGCTTCTCTCCTGAGTGGACTCTCATGTGAATCAGCAGTTTGTAACGGGCATTAAATGGCTTGAACCTTCGAGGGCACCCTGCCCAGAAGCAGGTGAAGTCCTCTCCCTTCCTCTGGTCTATGTGGATCTTCTCTATGTGCCGCACAAGCTCCTCTTGATGGTCATACAGCTTCCCGCAGTCAACCCAGCAACAGCCATGCTTGCCATTGGGATCGTCCGGCTCGCCATCCTCCTCCAGCAGGGCGCCCGGGGCAGGAGGCAGCACCTGCAGCGGGGGGACGTGGCTGGGCAGGCCGTGCGGATGGCGGTGCTGGTGGGCATGGTACGGCGGGGGCGGCCCTTGTGGAGGAGGTTGTGGCAGCACCAGGGATGAAAGAGGCATGTCACCAATAGGGCCTGAGAAGTCATCCAGCTGTTCATTTTTCAAGATCTCCATTGCTTGGCTGTCCATGGGCAGCACACCCTGCTGGATCACCATGTTATTTGTGGCACCCATCTGTAAGCTGGCTTGCTCCAGCTGCTGCATCCGCTGGTACTCACCTGTCCCGTTCTCAACATACCCTGGAAAAGTGACACTGCCATTCGCCATGTGGAAGCCTTTCTGGGCAGTTGAAACAGAGCAGTTTTGGGGTATACAGCTTCCTCTCACTCCCAAAAAATGTCCATAGACCTCAGGCTGTGGGGAGACGTTTGCTGGCGGTGCCCTGGCACTGTTGATGTAGGCCACCAGAGAAGTTGGGGATGTACGAATGATTGTATTGAACTCAATCCCAATGCCGTCAGACAGAGGAGATACAGAGAGTGCTCTCTTTTTGGAGCGGGCTGATTGAGACCAGACTGAGGACTGGCAGGGACTAGAGTAAGGGAAATTCTTATTTTCCATGCCATATAAGTAGGACAGTAATGAGTTACTGGATGTAGATGCTTCGGGCGAAAAATTTATTAAGTTCCCCAGTTCACTGCCATTTTGTAAACCATGGTCAGGAGGAACAGAAGAAAGTGTCCTGTACCTGTGTGACCACTCTTGTTCAGCACTCACAGGGGAATGACCTCCCGACAAGCTTAACGTTGTAGAGACCAGAGTCTCACATGACACGAGTGACCTGAAATAAAAGTATAATAAAGTAAGCAGTTAGAAAATTCAAAAGTAGATTTTTTACCTTCACACACATGCTTAAAATTAAGGAAAGGCTACATGTGAGAAGAGCTTTCCCTAACACTAGGGGCTCAAGTTCAGCACATTCAATTAGTGAGTAGTTATACAAAGGTCACTTAGGAAGCCAACTTTAAAACCTCAAGATTTTGAAAGCAAGTTTCTATAAGGATTCTTCATCCAGCATTGCAGAAATTATTGCATGTCTTTTCATCAATTGTGCTGTAAATAGGTTTGGATTTCTGAAGCCAAAGCATTATGTTCCTGCCTTCTATGAAACCCATAATGATTTAAGTCATCTATTATATTTCTGGAAAAAAACAGAAAGAAAACTAATCTAAAGAGAATGGATATTCAATCTGAACGACAATTGTCAATTGTAACACATACGAATTCTACAAATACTTCCCTTCAGAAGTTTTATATATCAAGTTTATAAATACAGGTAATATCTAACTTTACAAAACAAACAAAATAAATTAGCAATGTAGGAGAACTGGTTGAAGAGGTTTCTTACATTTGATTTGAAGATGTATCTGCCTCCAAGTCAGCAATCAAAATTTGTCACTAAAGTGTAATTTTGCTAGTATTGAGCATTTTTCACAGAGATATTATGAATCTTCATGCTGCAAATATTCTTTGGATAGCTTGAAAACCCTTAACATATAAGCTCTTAAAAGTATTGTTTTCTACAGAACGAGATAAAAAAGAAATAAAATTCAAGGGCCCTGAGTCATGGCTGTAAATGCTGGCTGAAGGTTAACTGGACTTATTTATTTGTTTCCAGTTCACACCCAGGCACATTTGGATTTCCTACCAGTTAGTGGTGCTATCAGTATATAAATTTCTATTTTTAAGGAGCTCTTACAATAGGAAGAACTGGTTATATACCCAGATAAACCTGACAATCTCACAGAAGCCTCTGCATCTTATGTTTTGAGAATTCTTGGTTTTATTACTTTAACAACGCCGTTTTGAAGAAGCATGGAATTTCAGTGACAGATCGAGGACACTGGAGGGGAAGCTTGGCACAGCCTGAGAGAGAGAGGAAGTAGTTTGCAGGTGTTGTATCTGTAAGATAGCTCACAAACAGGAAAAATGTAGCTTAAAAGAACAGCAAGCCCTGCTGTAGTGACCAGAGGGAGAGATGTTAAATTCCCCTTTGCGCAAGATACTTGCTTTGTAACGCATGGTTGATCTGCTGTATCAGAATAAGAAACGTCCTGTTCTGATTCAGTGTCAGGGCAGGGTACTGTCATGGACCTTACATGACTCCATCAGGGTTTAAACGGCACTTGCAAAACAGACTACAGACAAAATGCACAACTAGCATGCTGATTACAATTTGTATTGGGAGAAATGAGAAAAATGAGATTGCTCTATCAGGTCAGTCTTGTGTGCCATTTAGATCTAAAGGGATGACTTTTTGTGAAAAAGCTGATCTAGGCTGTTGTCAATGGGCTTTGTTACAGCACAGTTCATTATAGGGTGATTAAATCGTGCTAGTATGTTGTGACCCCAAATACAGATCCACAGGTTTGAACTCCATGCTATGATTCACACCCAGAAAATATAAGGAGAGGGTAGGGGTGTTCTGCCAGGTTTTTTAAAAAATTTCATTTTTTATTTTATGAATAATGCAAAAGAAATTGTGCATCAATAAAAAGTCTATTTTTGTACTGACAAGAATTTTAATCAGATGCGTAGTACAACCAGTGTCATACAAAAAAGCTACTAATACCTAACATGAAGGGGCATATCCATCAGTGAATCTGAAGAAAAACTGCTTTTTAAAAGTCTCATAATAGGACAAAAATAAAAAGCTGGCCCAGAATTTCAAGTATACAATAAGTAAGAGCCAGCTATTCTGAAGAAGCTGCAGCACTTCAGCATCTAAATTCAAAAAATAATAAAAATTCCAACCCCAAAAATGAAGATTCATTTAAAATTCAGCCCATACTGTTACTAAGCAGTTTTCTAATAGGAAGAAAATAAATACACCTAATATGAAAATGAGGGACCAGATCTATCAGGGTTCCAGAATCTCAGATGGCATTAATTGGTGCATCTGCTTATTGTAAACTAAACCAGCTTGAGTTTGGACCAGATCTTTCATTAACATTTGCAAGAGATTACTTGCAATTACATTGTATTCTCCCTTTGTGTAAAGAGGCCACAATGTCAGAGTATAATCCAGAATCCTGAACATAAACATGGAAGAGTGAAAACTACGTTTTTCTCTCTTTTTATGGTCTTCTATTTACTAGCCAAGAATGCTTTGCTCTTTCCTAGATCTTTTTCTGACTCACATCAAAGCAAATGGCAGTATTACATCTGGTTTGATGCAACACAACTGAATACTCCAAAACAGTTCTACAGAAACTCAAAAAAATGGGGAAGGTTTCATCCTCTATGGTCTGTACACCAGAATCTGATGCTATGTGTAGCAAAACTCATTTTGCCAACTGGCTTCTTTCTTCAATCAGTAAAAATCAAGAAAATTCACTTCAGCTTTGGTAAATTCAACAAATAATCTGATTTGGGTTGAGCTGCCAGAACACAGTTCATAGTGCCTGAGAGGAGAAGGCACTCTGCCCAGGAAGAACCAGTCAACTTCACTTAGGCAAAAGCAGCTTATAGTTCAAGAAATTTAATTTTAAAAAAAGCTCAAAACCAAATAACAAATAACCAACCTCCCAAAAAACCACAAAGAAAAAAAATCCCACACTGTTTTGACAATCTGTGAGTTAGAATCTGACTTTAAACTTGTTTTGCCCTATTAAACAAATTGAGGTAAAAATTGCTGAAATTGACATTCTTTGTGTGATAAACTTATTTTAGAACACCTTCATTGACAAATCATTAAAAGGTACTCTAGGGACACCACAGCCTTGATTCTGCCAGAGTTTCAATTTGAGTTTCCCCTTAGTAAATGTTTCTTTGAAATAAAATCAAAAGTGCATAACTCAGTACTGACATGATATATCCAACCACACATTCAGTGTTTGGAACCATACAGGCACACCTAAAACTTAAGTAAGTAACAATTCTGTAATTACATTTTTCTAGCAACAGTTTTATTTGATCTGAAAGGCATGTATTTGGATTTGTCATTTGTCATCATCTTAGCACTGAATGGTTTTTGCTGACATGTCTACACAGGAAGCATAATTAATTTTGTAAATTTTCCCAGGAGGCTCAGTCTTCACAACTAAAGTGGCAGAAATGTTAAAAATTATCTTAAGAGTAAAGAAAGGTTTTATTCCTTTTGCAAAGTACCAGTCTCAATTATTTCAGAAATGTCCCTTGGCTTGTGATAAAGCAACACAGTAAATGTAAACTGCTTTGAGAATAAAGACCCTTATGGTCTTTTGTAAATAAAAACTACATTTCAACTCAGTAGGCAATGGGGAATGTAGATTCCAAAGTAATACATTAGAATATTTTTTCACTGTATATTTAACATCCAGGGATGTGCCTGATGTACTTATAGGGTGGTTCTCAAATACCTGTTTTCCTCTAATTCATGTTTGCTGACAAAACTCAAAGTCATAATCTCTTATTTAAGTGTTTAAAATTAATTAATAAATGTTTATCTGTGGGGTAGTATATAATAAGGCAACATTTACAGTGGTCATAGTTTTCTTTACCTACACAACAAAACTAGGAAAATTAACAAGTTTTCGAGGACAATTGATCTGATTAATTATCAGATGGTAAACAAACCATTTGAAAGCAAATGCATTTGATTAGGAGAGAGGAACATGTGCAGAGCATTTACGGGTTTTTTTGCCTGTCCTTGATGCTATTTGAAAGACACCAACATGGCACATTTAGCACTATGCAGATGTAACATGTGGACTATTTCTGCTTTCATCCTCCATAACACTTCCTATACCCAGTACAAAAATCTAGTTTGTGACTATAAAACAGCATTTATCTAATAAAAATTCCTATCATACACAGATTTTGTGTGGCCAAATTTCACCCATTATTTGAATTACCCCAACATGAAGTCCGATTATAGTTGATCTGAATTAAATTGCGTGGAATTCAATTTCCCGTGGCATAACAGAGAATGATTTTCTGATTTTAATAACCAGAAATGTCACATTTTCATTACAGATGAATTAAAACCCCTTCCTTTTAAAATACTGAATAGAAAAAGGTAATTGAGGACCTTATATCTGATGGAGAAGCATCCATAGACCTTTGTAAGCTAGGGCTGATCTGGCTGCATGCTGTTGAAAGGTGATTCACTGAAGGTGAAAGAGGTCCCAGCTGTTGAACTGTCATGGGATTGCTGGTGACTATTGCATTGTTGCCACTGCCTTTTCCAATGGACTTGCCCTTGTATCCATAACCAAGACCTCCTAAAATAAACAAAGCAGGTTAGTATTTATCTTTTATGAACCCATGACGAGGCACAGAACTCACATTGTAGCATCCCCTGAACTCTGTCATCTAATTCCTGCATTTTGATCACATCACTTTGCAAACTTCAGAAAGTAATGGGAATCTTCCGATGAGGACAAAACATGGGACTGACACAAGAATTTTGCAAACTTCTCAAAACATAAATAGCAATATTCTACAGGGGAGTTAATAGATTATGCATGTGTAAAACATGGGCTGAAGTACATAAACTAAAGACCAGGCATGAGGGAAAAACATCAGAAAAAGCACCAGGTGAAAAGCCCTCAGCTGAAGGACAGCTCTCTATGAAGAAGACAGGAAGAGAGAACCCAAGGAGGCTGCCAGAACAGCCCCGAGTCCTACAAAACCCGGCAGCTCCAATTCATTGCAAACCCTTGCATCATTCCTACCACTACCCATGCATAAAGCAAGGACACCACCAATATGCATGCAGACTGCAGTGCTGGCTGAGTAGTTTCACTAGCAGGAGAGAGTTACAGCTGGAACCCAGCATCTCTCAGAGGTCTAAGTAGAGGAATCTGAGCTGAATGAAACTTCAAAGCATTCTGGACTTTCTTTAAAGGCCACAGTCAGCTCTTAATCACTGCTGTCATGACTCAAACTGATAGCTCTTAGACAGTAGCACAAAAGGTAGCTGGCCACTGGGACATACCTTCAAAATACCCTGTGTACCTTTTGTTGTGATTTAGATCACAGATGGTAGTTTACATTATTGCCTCCATTAAAACACATTGAGATTAGAAAGTTAAAATGCAGGTCCTAACATGGAAGTTGTTGGACATCTAGCAAAGTCTCATCACAGCTGAAAATTAATAATTAGACAATTCACATTTCTAGCTGCTTCTCTGTTCAAAATACTCCACAAAGCAGGACAGAAACATCAGGACAAACAGTGAAAAGTATTTCTATGTAAACCATTTTACCAAATTATATCTACCTTTGATATGAGCATACAACTCATACAATCTTTTCTTCAGGTTCTTCAAATGGGTTGCAGACTGCAGAGAGAAGTACATTAAGGCATTAATGTCTCTCCCAGTCAAAGGAAGAAAAGGCAAATCCTTCAATTCTCTCCAGATCAAATGTTTCCAAGGACAAACATGTAATGAGGATTCCTGATTCTGTACTCAACTCCACTGCAGACACCACAACAAAGCATTTAAGTTCTTGTAGGATTACTGTCTGTTCCCACTACAGATGTTCAATTAAATCAAAAGAAAGAGAGAAGGTATTCTAATTTCTTTCCTGTGAAGCAGGAAAGTACATATTTTGAACTCAGTAAAGCTGAATCAATGTGCTTCTCAGCAGTTGATTTTACAATGTTATGGAGAATTAAACTGGAATCAGTAGCAAACATTAGGCAAAAAATGTAAGTTGCCTCTGATAATAACATGAACACTGTTCCTCTTAGCAAAAAGCTGGATGGGGTGAAATAAATTTACAAGCCCAAATCACACTTTTTTTATACATTTTATGTATTAAAAAATACATAATACAACATAATATGCCTATATGTAAGTGTGTACATAAATGTTCAGTTAGCTATGTTTCAGAAAAGTGCCTTTAGTATGTAGAACCAAAGATATGCTGCACCAAATTACATAAAAGAGAAGTGTACTATAAGAATACAACAATGTAGGAAACCCGACTGGGCTTGACCTTGACACTGAAATACAGCTGTAAAGCTTGGATAGTGTATATACATACACACATACATGCATGCATGCATGCATACATACATACATACGGAATACATAATACATGTATGTACATATGTATGTGTGTGTGTATGTGTGTGTGTGTGTATATATATATATATGTATGTATGTATGTATGTATGTATGGAATATTTAATAATATACCAACCTACAATTTAGCATTGAGAAAATGTGCCCAATATATATACTGATCCTTTCCTGGATTATGCCATTATTCACCCTTCACTTAAAGGTCACCTTTAAACAAATTTCAGTAGTAACAATAATATCTGCTTTATCATATCAGGAAATCAAGGACTGTGCATTTGTCAGATTTCCATTAGGGAAAGGCCATGTGTCATCTCAAATAACAATCTGCAACAATACAGTGAAATTACTATTACTCATTATTAAATCTGAGCTGCTAGAAGCTTTCATGTTGGAAAAAAAACAAATCCCAGCAGAAAAATGATAACAATCTGCAACAATACAGTGAAATTACTATTACTCATTATTAAATCTGAGCTGCTTGAAGCTTTCATGTTGGAAAAAAAACCAAATCCCAGCAGAAAAACCAGAAAAGGGAGTAGTGCCAAACCAGTGCCGTTAAATACAGAAAGTTGCATCCTCAATGCATTCTGGTTTCCCTTTCAATTACAGGGTCTGCTATTATTATCTGTTTATAAAGAGTACCTCAGGGGTGCCAACAGCAGGTAAGAAAATTTGCTGTGTTATGGTAAGGATAATGGACTCATTGCTAGCCATTGAAAGGAAAACATGAGAAATTAAGTACTTTGGGGAGATTGTATTACTGGAATGATGAACAAAAGTTATGCAAGACTCTAGTCCTCATGAACATTTGTCTGGACTGACATAAGACTTCCACTCTTATGTGGAAACAGAAGCAAAAGGCTTTCTTCTTTTTACCATTGACAAACATTTGCTGTTATGACAGAAAATTACAATTCTTCCACTGAAAAGAAGGCAGGGAGATTATCATGGAAGAATAAATAAATCACCAGCTCCCACCACTGAAAGAGACTGCAAAGTAAAAGGCCGCTGCTGTGAAAAGCAAAGTCATCATTTAATCAGCTACTTCATATGGGCACAAATGTGTCAAAAGACCATCATCAATACCTTGACCATGTCCTGCAGGTCACTGAACAATATCAATTTAATCTGAATCAGGCAGCAGCATACAATCCCATCTATGCTGAACTAAGTCTGAGTACAAGACTGGAAGCTTATGCTGACTTCAAGCCCACTACAAAAGTACAGACCACATCTGATCTAGCATAAAGTTAAACAGGCGCAACATGGCCTGTCAGCAATCTGCTGCTGAAAGGAATGCTGTCAGAACATGTGTTCAAAAGCTCTGGATAAATGTCAGAATAACTATGTCCAGCATCAGCACATGGCACCACATACCCAGAGTGCCAGAGGAGCCCTCAGTCCAGGTTTACTGTATCATTGTACTGAAGCCTGGAAATGTCAGGATAGTGAAAGGACAACTAGAAATTCCTCGGTGCCTTGAATCCACATGAGCTGAGATAAACAGGAAACTCTCAGGAGGGTACCAGTGAGTTTAAATGACACTGCAGATTCTAAGAAAAATATGTAACCAAATATTTTAAATAAGTAAAAGAAGTAGTTTCTTTTCTTTTATATTAGGATATAAAAGATCAGGAGACAGTCCAATAAAGCCAACAACAACTAAAAAGGAGGAATCAGCCCTACAGTAGCTCCTTGTAAGAATTACAGCTGACCAGAGCAGGTGCTTTATTCTAAATAAACATAATAACACATAAATCAAAACTTCTCCTTATAAACATATAACAGTAACAGTAAACAAGTAGAAACAGTAAAAAAAAATATGGAAATATTTTAATCCATTCACTTCCTCATTCATTAGGCTGCCTATTTTCCCTGTTTATTCTCTTAGCTGGTTAACAGCTAAGTTTCACCCAACCTTGAAATGCAAAATTATTTCACTGCAATCTTCTGAAGAATATTCAAAGAAAGCAGAAAAATACAAGTACTTTAGATACACAGAATTTTAGATGAGACTTTCTTAATTTATGTAATTCTCTTACTTTTTGGAGGAAGAGTCCAATATGAAATCAGTTTCACTTAAAACCCATTTTCTTTTATCAGATATTGACTGATAATCAACCAATTTCTTTGCCTATTTCTTTATGTTAAGAGCAGTCATTTTTTCATTCTTCCAAGTATCTCAGGTTAAAAAATGGAACTACTTCACCAAACCTTTGAAATTGTAAACTATTCTCTCCATATATAAATCATGGTCAACAAAAACATACAAAAGCAAAACCACTTTTAATTGTCAGATGTTCTGAAACCCACTACATACATACCAAATACATAACACTGGATCAAATTCAAACATCTCTTTGATTAATAAATTCTATAGCTACTGAACTAATTACTATGAAACAAAGTTACTAAAGTGATCTGAAAACCTGTCTCTTGCTACTGTTAGAGCAACAGCTAGAAATAAAAGAATTACAACAAGAGAGCAAAAAATTAATTTCCCTAGGGGATTTTCTGTGTACACATACACAGAAAATGTACATGTGAAGAGCTTTGGAAGTGGTTGGTTTTAATACTTTCCTTGTATTGGGCTTCCACTCTTGTTTCTGTGGACTCTCTATTCACCAAAATGGGGAGAACAAGGCACAAGCAAAAAAGCATGTTGTAAGACCATAAATAAAGAGGACAGACACCATAGTAATTAAGCAGATTGTGTGAATGTATTCTTCACATAGATTAAACTCACCACGGCTGTTTGAAAACGCATTTGGTCTTTTTTCACAACACATTTAATCCTCTGCATTTGCAGAGGATTGCAGCCTCCAGTTACTACATACATCTTTACTGTCTTCACCATATCTGCAGGGTCATTGACACCCCTGTTTGGAGGTGTGGGGACTTCACAGCGGCTGGTAACTCAAAAAACTCAAATGTTTGCATAGAAGACTTGCTTTCCAATGGTAATATCTTAGTCCCTCTCACCTTGAGCCTGCCAAAGTTTTCAGGCTTCCCCTGCAGCAATTTCAGTTATATTATTAATGACTGCTAGAGAGCTAGCACTTATCCCTTTGCCCTTAAACTAAACAGCCACTTTTCTATCATTTCCACAGCACCTAAGAGACTCTACTGCACAACAATGTAGACAGAGACACTAGCTGCAGGGCAGTGGATATCAAACCCCTTCAAAC